TTTTTTTCATTTAAAGTTCAATAAATATTCGAATACTTTGCATTTTATTAATATTTTAAGCTGCTTAAGTTCAGGAACTGTATGAATATGAAATGTCCTAAGCCATGAACACAATTGCTCTTGGCTCAACATGCATATATACATATATATACTGCAGCTTGTGGCTAGAAATCAGATTTGCAGTTTGATGCCGAGCCAGAGTCGCAGAACTGTAGAAGAAAATGCAAAAATACAATTCCCACAACTTAAGAACTCAATCAAAGCATTTACGCTAATTTCTCTGTTTATACAACTTGACCTGAGCTGGCAAACAAATTGAAGAGAAAAGGAAAAGAAAAAGAAACAATTTTACTACGGTTGGAGCTAGTCAAACTGAAGATGGCAGCGAATGCTCCAACAGGCGTCTCCTGCCCTCTATCAATACGAGAGCAGCATGTGAGCTCCATTTATGTGGTTCGTTGCTATCCAGCTGTGCTCTGTTGTTGTTCGCTTTTGGCTTGGCTCTGTGGACTGCAGCGGCTGATGCTGCTGTTGCTGCCAGCAAAAGTTACGTATACGTAATTTCATTGCAAAGCGCATTATGTATACGTTTGCATGTTTGGCCAGTTGGGCAGATAAAGAGGAACGGATTTGGTTTTTCAAATCCATAGCCCAAAATGGCATACATACATACATATATGCACACAGAGTTATCTAGTTTTATTTGTATAGTTGATACAGAGAGCAAAGTAGAAAAACTATCAAATTACGTGGCAGTTGACAGCAAACGAGGACATGACGGAATGCAGCTACGGATTTGGCAAGACACAAAAGCCAAGAACGTAAAGGCGACAAGTTGAGCCAGCCCCAAATGCTAACAACGTGTGTACGATTAAGGACTCGGATGGGAAACATATTTAAAATGTAAACATATGATGGTGATACGTTGAACGATGACGACGATGAAGACGACAACGACGACGTCTCTCATAATAAACAACAAGTCAACAGACTTGTTCGACTCGCACTCACCTCATCCTCCATAATGCTGCTGTCCGCATGCTGCACACCATCCGATTTGGGGCGACGATTGCGTTCACGTCCATTCTGCATCCTTTCCGACTGGTTCTGTCTGCGACGTGTGGACTGCTGCTGCTGCTGTTGCTGTTGCTGCTGAGAGCTGTAAAAGACCAAATATTGCAATGAAAAACGAATTAAAGCCAGTTAAATCCAATAAGATGAAGAAACTATTGTGCAAAGCTAAGAGTCAGTCGAAAGCGACGCGACTAGCGGATGCCCTGCAATCGAAGTGCAAGACAAAAATTTAAAACAATTTATGCGCTTCAAATTTATGATATCATAAATATATGCAATAAAATTACATTTTCATTCGGATTATCAAAAACTATAAAAGCCAGCAGAGATTTCGGAAAAAAAAAGAAAAACAAATGGAAACTTAATTCAACAAAAGCCCTCAAGCTGAGGCCACCGGAAATTCGATGTTTGGATTTGTTGCAGTTGTTGTTGTTGTTGCTAGAAAATGTCAAATGCACAGCACATTCAAATTCATGTTGTGCCACGTGTTCGAATGCAGTCAACACAAAAGCTTCGAGTGGAATATTTTGTGTTGGTCAACGCCCCAGGAGCAATTCTTTCCCTCTACAATTTTCTGCTTTGTTATATTTGGCATTTTCTGTATAGGTGCAGATATATACATTTGTGTTTATATATTTATATTTTTTTGTGGACTGCCAATATCTTTAAAATTGATAAGTAAATTGCATGGCTTTTGCTTCTCATTGTGTGCAGATGAATATGTATGTCAAATATGCTATATATAAATTCATATAAATATAGATGGAATTTAGTGTAAATGCATTCTAGCAGGTAGCTAGTGCCTAAATGCCATTTCTCACATTTTCTAGAGACTTCTGGGTGCTTAGTTTTATTTGAAATTCATATCAATTCTCATGGCTGCAAGTGCCGAATAAAATCGTAAATATATACAAAATATATATGTGTATGCCAAATAAAAAGAGTCAAGGCGAGTATAGGAGAGACTTTGTCTTTTAATACCCTGTACAAGCACAAGCATGGACAATGCGACAATAGAATTTTAATCAAGAGAGAGAAAGAGACAGAAACAGAGAGAGAGAGAGAGAGAGAGAGAGAGAGAGAGAGACAGAGAGAGAGAGAGAGA